ATATATATATATATATATATATATATATATATATATATATATATATATATATATATATATATATGGTATATTTATATTATCACTAACTTCAAGAATTATGTATTTATTCATATTATTTAAGATGTTTGTAACAACCAAGCTCCACGTGTCGGTCGTTGAAGGAGTCCGGATTCGGGAAATACTTGACACAGAACACTTGTGTGAAAAAGCACAAAGATCGAAATGAGATATTTTTAATTTTTGGTACAGAGCAGAAGATGATAGCTTCGGCGATTCGGTATAAGACTGTGCCAGTTATCAGGTCACAATTTCGATAGACCGCGACTCGCAAGACGGGAGGCGGAACGTGTAGCGCGTACGTTGTGTAACACGAGAGTTTCGCGAGACAATCGAGACGCGGTTCAGGACTCGCGATTCGCGAGTTCGGTGGTTGGATGGTCGGTTGGAGGGAGCGGGCGGTGTCGGCGACAGTAGGGCCATGTCGCAGCACGGCGTGTATTCGGCGCGATTGACGTTGTTGACGCTATCGGTGTAGGATACATCGCGGAGGCGCAGGCGGTAGCAGATTCGGAACTCAGCTTGTGGCGTCGAGAATGCTCGACGAAGTTAAATATTCCGACCACGGTTCCAACAGTCGTGGAAGGACAAACAGATGTCGAGAGCGCAGCGAACACACTGGTTTCTGTTCTTGTTCGTGGGGACGGCGGAAAGCGAGCAAACGTCGAAAATATTTGATGGAGCGCAGCAAATGCATTGGGCACGGTTTTTGCTCATAAGGATAGGATTTGTGATTACACAGGCCCGGAGGAGACGAGAAGGCGAAGAGCGGATTGAAATGAATACAAATGTCCCATACTGTTTTGCGATATTCGCAATAATAGTTGAAATATTAATTTAAAAAACTAATGAATGATCACGCGCGATATGGTAGATGAGCTGCAGTGGCACCCTATGCTTATGCATTATGCCGCTATTACGTCCTGCAGGAGAACGTAACGTAATGAAAGCCTCGCTTATACTTATAGGTCGAGGAGCGAGTCAGCGACCATAAGGGTCGTTTACTAGCGCAATGACGTACGGTGAGCGGTCCAATTTTGAGTCAGGAATCTGAATCTCTTTTCTCGGGACTGGACCTCTAGCGATAATGGGAGAGGACGGGTTAAGAAAAAAATTGAATTTCTTTATAAAAGGAAAAAATATGATTTATTTATAACTACAATTTAATACGGTGTGTGTGTGTGTGTGTGTGTGTGTGTGTGTGTGTGTGTGTGTGTGTGTGTGTGTGTGTGTGTGTGTGTGTGTGTGTGTGTGTGTGTGTGTGTGTGTGTGTGTGTGTGTGTGTGTGTGTGTGTGTGTGTGTGTGTGTGTGTGTGTGTGTGTGTGTGT